TTCGTAATAAACCCGTGAAAGTGATAAATGAGATACAATGAAATATATGAAGTTCATATATTTTGTACTGCGGTATTAGATACATATGATGCACGATCCTCGCAGCAGATAGCGCTATTTAAGCAATAGCGAAAATCAGACCTGAAAAAAATCAGACCTTACAGGCCTATCTTTCCTTCCCTTGGTATTGCCACTCTGACATGAAATGGATCTCTCTATTCTAATAGTGTTAGTATTGTAACTAAACTGATGAAGAAGTGAAACCTGTAACAAAATGTTGATGATTAATATGGATGATTTAATAACATAACCACGAATGACTTGGAATAATTTGAGTAAGGAGATATTTGTCATAGATTACCATTTAAACAAAAGTCCAGCTGCCTGTGCACTGATCCTGTCAGCTTCATTTTATTATTTCTAAACCTGTCAACAAATAAAAAGCATCAATAATAATTGGAAATAGCTTTCTTTTAACAGGTCGGACTGAAAATAAAGCGATACTTACATATTTCAATATCCTCGGGTTTGAAGTGTTTCTCGCAAGCGTGTACTTTGTCGTTTTTTATCTGCTCCCCGAGATCCTGGTCGATTTTGCGTGCTTTTATTACTTCTCCGAGCCAGTTGTTGCGCCATTTTCGATCATGAGCCTCGTCTTTCGCGACAGGCAGCTTAAAAATTCCTATTCCCTTCGATCGTCTGCACGATCCGCAGCCAAGGACGGAGCAGTTGACCCCTGGCATCACTTATGAATCCTTTTAAGATAATATTTCAGTTAGATTATTTCTAGATCATCTGTAAAAAAAGAATAAACTCGAAGCAAGCCCACACGCTGGTCGCCATCTTCATATTTTGTGCACCTTCGCGGTCACGTGACAGGCCATAAACCAACACAAAGGGTTCCATCGTCGGAAGTCCGCCGGCTTTCATAACCAGTTCCCTCTATTAACTCTGGCGGCCATGACCCACAACGAACGTCTGCCTCGATTTTCAACAAGGACGAATTTCAAATATCGTCGTCACTTCAGTTCTTTTGAGTAGTTTCATAAAACACTTTAACTTCATCAGGCTGATAGTTGTAACTTCCTACCAGTAATGATCGGGTAAAGGAGCTGCCATAACTGTGGCCAGATGGTGGACTGTAAGTCCATCCAAGGCTTGAGTAAGACCTAGGTTGGATGAGGCGTAGTTGGCAATGTAAATATCGAGTCCTCCACCAAATGTGGGTCTATATAGCTAGAAAAACTGTAAATGGACCCGCGTCGAGAACTATACTTTCCTGTTTGAGACAGTTTCACTGGTCATGAAGTACGTCATGGTGATTTAGAAGCTCAAAACAGAATGGTAAAGTACTTGAACAAAATTTGCGTTTGGAAAGTCTCCAGTTCTTCTTTTCACTACTTTTAATTCCTTTTACAGATATCTATGAACGTTTCAATTTTCTTTCTCTTAGGTTGCAGCAGTGGTTAATTCCTTATGTTTTCGTTTAAAATTTTCCGCGGGCAATTTGTGCGCGGCTAGCCAGATTGATCCCCCCGCACATGCCCAACGTTTAACTTTTGGTTTCAGTTGTTGCGCGGTTATGCTGTACAGCCAGAATGCTTGGCACTTACCGCCCTAGATGCGTCTAATCTTAGTCACCAGGCCCCATACTTACGACTGTAACTACAAAGAAGAAGATTTCCAACGTGACATTCGCATCCCTTCTCACCGCAAATAAGTCGATGTCTACGTCTGAGACAAACTGAACACCTATTAACTTATCACCATGATTGACTGTGCCTTTGTCGACTTCATTTTGCAATTCAAGCTCCGTTTTGTTCGCCTACCATTTGTAATCCCTTAGCTACAGCAGTCATATCCTTGTCGCCGCCATCGTCGACGATACTATCACATCCACTTTTTGCGCTAGTGTTATCTTGATAATTAACAGTATCATCCATTGCAAAATCCTGCTCTATATGCATTTCATTTGCATAACTATTACGATAAACCTGTTTGATATTAACATTAATTTGATATCCTGATACTCAGATATTTTCGAAAGCCCATTGCTACAAGTAATTGTAGTTTCTAAGTTGGATCAAAAGCCTACGATGTGAAGACCATGAATAAATGCAAAAACTTAAGCATAAACAAAGTACCTTCAAGTAATCGTTCAATACTCGACTTTCTCGTTTAGTTGCATCACGGGCCATAATTTGTAGCAGTAGTAGTTCTTTATTTAATGTGGCACCACACTTAGCTACAAGTTACTTTCCAGGAAGCCCAGAACAAAATATTCAATAAAAAATTACAACCTACATCAAGAATTATGTACATTAAGTAAAATATTATTATAATAAAAAGGATATCGCAAATTTAAATATATATTTGTATACATGTGTAGTAAAGCAGAGATCAAAAAACAAAAAACTAAAAACTTAAAATTTTAGGTGACAGATATCGTGAAGAAACGTTCTTGTGCCAGCCTTTACGCGTATAGCATCTGGTAGCACGTTCCAAGTCCTAGCAGCAAAATAACAAAATGACTTAAAACCATGCTTCGTACTGTTAACCTTAGGTAAGGAAAGCATGTTAGTGCCTCTTAAATTGCAATCAGTCCTCCTTGGTCTAACCAAGTCAGCAATAGGTCTGGGAGCCTTATTTTGAAAGCAGTTATTGACCGTTAACAACATATCTTGAATCCTACGACTCTTCAGTGTCGTATGCAAGCCGACACAATCGAGCAGTTCTTCATATGAAATACCCTTATCTTTATATACATATCTAAGCGCACGTTGATTTACCCTTTCCATTTTCGTTGTATTCCTTTCCCCACAGTGGTGCCATAGCTGGCTACAATAATCAAAGTAAGGTAAAATAAATGCGTGATAAAGTGTTTCCTTGGTTTTAAGAGGCAGGATATTTTGAGGCTATTTAAAGCATTAACCTCACCTGCCACCTTTCGACAGATTGATGCAACATGAGCATCCAATTTCAGCTTGTCATCCAATGTTACACCTCATGATTTTATCTCACTGGGAAATAGGTATTGGCCTCCCTGCGCATTCTAACTGGAAATCAGAATCAGTGTTCCCTAACTTTGATTTCTTAGGTGATCATTCCTAAAATTTTGTCACATCAATGCAAGTCTCTTTGCTAAATCGTATAAATGAAAAATTCATAAACGCCGGATGGTAAAAAAATCTTCGGTGCTGCGCTGGTTACTGAAATCCAGTGGGTCATGCGCGTGCATTAGTGTATCATGTGACTGTCGATTGATTCAGCGAACGGAACAAGAAACAATAACCACCTTAATTTCCACCATTACATACAAACATTTTTACAGGAACTTTTTGAAACCTTTTATTACTTGAATAACTTTTTATGCTGTTTATTCCAGATCTACATTGCCTAACAAGCATTTAAAGTGATGAGGAGTCTACCCCTATAGGTCATTTTAATTTACTGAATTAGCGTTTTTTAGTTTTCTTAATCCTGCACGAAGTTTTTATTGACCTTCGATTCAACAGATATGCATCAAGTAGTTTCATAAAACACTTCAATATCGTCAGGCCGAAAAATGTGACTTCCTGCCAGGAATGATTTGGTGAAGGAGCTGCTATAACTGTGGCCAGACGATGGGCTGTAGGTGTATCCAAGGTTTGAGTAAGAATTTGTGGATGAGGCGTAGCTGGGAATGTAAAAATCGAGTCCTCCACCAAATCCGGGTCCAGAGTCAGAACAACTGGATATGGAATCGCTCCTGTAGTAACTGTATTTCCCTTGTTGGGTCAATCTCACTGGTCCCCAGCCTAGCTTGTTAACCAATGAGAACAAAAAGGCGCTCGAAGTGTACCGGTGTCCACAACTAGAAGCTGAATAACAAGTAAAGAATTTGAAATATAACTCAACAGTCGATTCGTATTTAAAATTTTCAGAGACACTCATGAAATTTAGCAACATTTATTCTATCAGCGTGTGCAAAGGATATCATCATAGGCTATGAAACATCACCAACCTTCCAAATCTATTCAAAGTATCACGTTTACCCTATTTAAGGCATTAATTACGTTTTAGCGTTTATGTTCAGCGTATTTATTTCTGGGCGGCGTTTATTTTAGGGTGGTGCTTTTTTCTTTTTTCGGAATCATATTTCTTAACTCGTTGACACAATCACGGTAAAACATTAGCAAATATTATGTGACTGGAAATTTTTCCGCGACCGTTTGTCTGAAATATTGAGAATCTGCCTAGAAGAGGAATATCGAATTTCTCCCCGTCTGGCCCCGGAAGCCCGGACAAAATCAATCCCCGAAATGATATTAAAAGTTTCTACTGCCTTTTACTTTCTTCAATATTTAGAAATTTTAAATTCACCTGCCGTGGTTGAAACTTGGTGCAGGCCCCAACTGCTTGTATAAACCCTGTTTGAACATACCCTTCGCTTCTTTTGCGCATTGCTCGCGTTGTGCGCTAGTAACTGATGAATAAAATAACTCATCTGACGGCAATTTGTTTCACACAGTGTTACTTGAAAATACAATCACTTACAACCCAAGCTTAAAAGGCACTCGGAACGAAGGCTATGATTAGTTTGTTCTGTTTGTCAGGCTACGCTATACCTACTCAAAGACGCCGTGGATACCCTTGATTTTCTTTGCTCTGCCGTTTTTACACTTTTGAATTACTATAGTATAAACAACGAGTGGAGGCTTTTTTTTTTAATTCAAGGTAAGTTCCTTTTCAAAGGAATGTGCTTGATCTGCTCGCTTTCGCCTATATTAGCGCCTGTGTCTGATTGTGCGATAAACAGATGAACTCAAGATTTTAAATTTGTAGGTGCTATTTTAGTGAGGATAAAAAAAAATCCACATAAATGCAATCAATGGTGCACTTACTCCAAGATAAGCTGTTGTATCCACCAAAGATTTATTTTCCCACACGGACAATAGTCACCGTCGGCCCTTGGCCATCACACAATGAGTGGAATGTAGTGCTGGCCCAACCATCAATTGATGCTCTCCAACAGCGCTTCCAGTAGGAGGACTGGCTCTGCACAACGGGCTTCAACCAATTGCTTAGTGTTTTAAGGTAATTGTTATCATTTGCCAGTATTGTAGAATGATCCAACCCTTAATAAAGGAGATAAGTGTTATTTTTACAATGATTTCACCTTTCTTTGTTGATTTTCAAGTCACGAACAAGGTCCAAAGCGAGGGAAATGTTCAAAGTACCTAATCGAAGGGCTTGGCTCCAAGTCGTCCCGCTGATCTATTCTTAATATGGAGTGAATCTACTCAGTAAAATCTGGAGGGCTTCTCTACCTCCCGGTAGTTGCTCTTACCTAAGATTAAATACCTAAGAAAGAGATTTTCGTATAGCGGAGAAAAACTATGGAACTCACTTCGCGAAGACATTTGATTGCGCGAGTCTTAGCATCATTTAAAACAGAAATTAAGGATAACTCCTTTCACATCTCTTTACATTCATACAAATATTTATTTTACATTTTAACACAATGTACTTTTTCACAAATAAACTCCGTATCTGTAACCGCACGCCCCTTTTGGATATCAGCCTAGTTTATGGGGCATACATGTTTTAAACAAAGTGTATTGTGGTCGAACCTGTAGTAGCTGTACAGCATTCAGCGGTCACCCGAGTTTAAGAAATTGACTCTCAATTGAACCGTAGTGAATGCGTTGCTGGCGGATGCCATACACTAGGCGCAGATGTGACAGTAATTCTGTTCACTTTTGCAATAAGTAATGTCCGGAAAGCTTCAAGTAGGTCAAAATATCAAGATGTAATTTTAAACTCAGTTGTGACGGAGTATATTCGTCATGAATGTGGGTATACGTTGAAAAAATTTCAGCCATCCTAAATACTTTTTGATAAAAGACTTGCAGGACAGTTTTTAAATTTAATTCTAAAACATTTTGAAGAAAGCCGAAAAATAAGTACATTTCCTGAATTAAGCCTTGCAGCAAAATGATTAAAGTCTATTTTTTAGTTTTTAATTTTATGAAAGTTTCCCAATGATTTCCGGAAAAGGATAACTCATTCTTTACAAATTACAATATATTATCGTCTGATCTGTCATGATGTATCACCTGCACTGAAGAAAGAGCTGCACTGAAATCCATCTCCAAGGTATCCAGCGTTACACTTACACTTGTACGAGCCACGTTCATTTGTACTCGTGGCCTGCTTGTGACAGTAATTTAGCTCATTTTCACATTCATCTAAGTCTAGTAAAGGAACAAAATGAGTTAACACCCATCTAGTACGTGAAGAGATAAAAAAAAAGTGAGCTCCTGCTCTTAGCCCATGGTCATAAAATTGTATTATGTTGTTACGCACGACATATACGTCTCACCTGGGAGTATAGATAGAGACCAACGAACTCTCCTGAACGAGAGGTTGACAAAATGCCTGGGTAAAAACGCGATGGACTGACATCCTACTCAGAAGACGAAGTACCTATGTTTCTAGTTGCTTTTCGCTGAGTTGTAAGCGGGGTAGGCTTCACAGGGAATGCGTCATAACCCTAAGTAATTACGTTTTACTCTAAATTATAACTTATAAGCTTTATTTGATATGTTCCACTCACCCTTCTTACAAGTAAACTGATAACAATCACTACACTGCACGTCGTTCCATTCATAGTCGTGTTTCACACCAAGTGCGTGCGCACAATCTTCTTCTTTGAGGTTATTTGGCTGGTTCTCGGCCCATGCTGTAAAGTTTCCATGTCGACGATCCACCCAAGTAAAGTCGCCATCTGTTGATATGTCATTCAAACCCAGCCAGGATTTATCTCCATTATGGCGATGTTGTATGTAAATATTTTCTTCATTGTTGTTGACATCAGCAAGAACTGAGTTTTCTTGTCTGCATTCTTTTACAGCTATGGTCCAATTTGTACAGGTATCACTTGTGTGGTGACAGAATCCACTGAAGTAACTCCATCCGGAAGGACAAATGTCTGGAAGTGAATATGTTATTTAATCTTGAAAGCGTTATCATAAATTTATTATGTATTTGCATGTTGTTTAAAGATGTGTTCTCTACACGCTTTTGGTCTTTCTAGTCATTCAATATATACAAGACAGATCACGTGACCAATTAACATATTAAACAGGAAGTGACTCATAATGTAACACATTTGACACATTTTAATTGCATGAAAGTGTAACTGTAAATGTCTACATTTGACCAGGAATGATTGGAAAGCCTGCAAAGATTTAAAAAAGCTGAGGTCGGAAATCTTGTTCATGTGTCTTGTCAGCTGAAAAAAAATTATTTCTCAAAGAAATATGGCCTTACCTTTACAGCCTCCAGAATGGTACAAGGTATTATTGTCAAGTCCCTTGCAGAAACTCAACTTGTACTGACATTCGTTGTCATACGTTGTTCCATTTTCGGTGCAGACTGGATCTTGATACGAAGGGCAGTTGTCATTACACACACACCGAGCTTCATGGGCACTGTATGTTTTGCAGACTCCAAATGATGGGCAAAACACGTCTAGGCAGGGATTGAGGTCTGTGAATGCAAAGAAAAATGATAGCTGCATCCGAATAAACTAAAGTGACTAAAGTTACACCACAGAATGATCGCACACGTATTTTCAGGCTGAACACAAACCTCCAATCACGTTGTAACTAACAGAGAGAGGGTCGTGTTTACTTCCTGTTCCACTCAAGTTTTTAACACAAATCCTCATGGATGTGAGGCTAACTTCCTACGCAAAGGACAGAGAAGGGACAAAAGGTAAAACAAAAGCAGAACGAAAAACATAAAACATAGAAATAGACTGCTCATTTACCTCAACCCAGGCTGATATAATGTTGTTTTTCGGTGATACGGGGCTTTTCATGGTAACTTGAGGGTTGTAAATATGATGCACAGACACAAGGACAACTGGTGAGGCATAGAAGGTTGTGTTGAACTCCACTTCCTGTAAAATAGAAGAGAGAACAATATATTTGAAAGAAAATTCTAGTTATACAGAGACCTCTCGTTTGCATACAAAAACCCTCCAAATTTCTATAGCTTGAAAAACCTCCTCGTAGTTCAGAGTCGAATCACAGTAAATTACACTCACTTGACAGAAACCATAATTGTCATCAGCTATCGGCGAAACGATGTTTGGAAAATCTGCTTCTCCTGACAGCGTTAAATTGAATTCAGAGCCATTTCCAAAAAATGCGAACCAGTCCTGTAGTAAAAAACTTCGAGGCATAAGTTGCCATCAGACAAAGTAGAGGCCGTAGAAAAAACTAATGGTTTGCACGTCCACTCCTAGAAGCTACGATAAGAATGTCTCTTACCACAATGGTGTCTTGATGTTTCCCATCGAAGGACAGAAACTCTCGGATGCACACCTCTAAACTTCCGGAATCTACATTTTCCAACCAAACATACATAGCGTCATCTGGCTTTGTGTCACGCGTGTATCTAGTTGACACAAACACGAAAGGTCTCGCAGGAAAATTCTGCGGTATTTTAAAAGCATCACTATAAATGTCTAGTCGAATAAACCTAAGTTCAAGAGGAAACTACGTGGCCACACCCACTAAAATTAACTTAGCTTATAGCTTAATTGTCTTTTACACGAGAAAGTAAAGGCTGAAATATTTCCTTCGCATTCTCTTCCATCACCCGGGTTTGAGTTTTGGGATCCACCATCAAAATTTTAAAATGTAGACTACACACTCAATTAATTATGAAAACCTGTTAAAGATAGTAATTGAGTAAATTGCTAAGATGATAATCAACAGCTAGAACATCCCGGTTCCTCTTTAGTGTTGCTTCATGGAATATCTCTAGCTTAAAGGTTTTGACCTCGAGCCTCAGCTTTACTCTAACCTGTTTCT